GATTCATCTCCTTTATAAGGTTTTTATGGGGGTCCACCTAATAAAATTAGGCTAATACGGGTTAACATGATTTTACAAGTGAGAACTTATAATTATTTATAATATGTAATAATAAAAATTCCAACCATCAGGATCAAGAACGATTGTCACAAAAAATTCACAACACAGCTAAAGAGTTAATAATTTCTCCAAAAACGGTTCCCTTTAGAAGCTTTAGAGACAACTGAACGCATATAAGACATCGACGTAACTTACCCTAAAAGCACTTCTTATGCGACCTGCACTCAACTTCCTCGCCTTCTCTAGCATCAGCTCTAGAATGCATGCAAACCCCTTTCGTCAGAAATTTCCCTTTCCCCTTCAATTATCTCCTCAGCCAGCTCCGCGACCACTTTTTATGAGTTTTCCGGCCCATACGGACTTGATTCCTTCCAATAAATAAAACGTACAGCAATAAATGTGTGAGATTCCTAACGCCAATAGAAGGTTCTGCTTTTGTTCCGGCGCAAATATTATTGTTCACATCAAATCAAAAAAAAAACTTCCTACTGAAATAACATGAACAGTAGAGGCGGTATAAGCAATTTCTGAAGGTCGAGTCTCTTTCAATCCGATGAACGTCAAGAAGTTGAAAATCTGGACGTATTCTACCCCTACAAATGTCAAGAACCTTCGTCACGCTCCTCCATCAGCTGTCTTAATAGCCTAAGCACATTCGATGAACACTTCTAGGAAAGTGGCACAACTGCTGCCAAATCATCCATGGCGACCGAACAGAACCGACAGAGGCGAATAGCGAATTTAAATATTACAAAAAAAGAAGTTAGAACCTGGGATATTCAACTGAAACAGTTAATTAGGAAGAGTTATAAAAAACTGCGATACGGGGGATTGTGATGGCAACGCATTTAGAACAACGTAAAACTTATCCCTACTAAGCCAGAAGCGTGGAGGAAAGACTCCAGCGAGCGTGAGCAATTTCTGCTTTCCCCGGAGTTCTTGCCCGCTCTTGAGCTTAGACCTAGAGGATGCCCCCGTATTTTGCTAAAAAAAGTTTTTTGCTTTTGCAAAAAACTCGGTCAACTCAATCACCCTGTCCTACATATCAGGCGTCCAGAGGTAAAGAAAAATGATTGAAAAAACGATTCGAGGATGGCCGTCGAGCAATTCTTTTTGCTATGCGAAACGTATTCCCCTACTCCATTCATACTAACAGCAGGGTTTCGATTTCGCCATGAAACACTTCAGAAACAGCCAATGTCCCCTACCGGTGCGACTGTCCTTCAGCTATTGGGAATGAAGGATCCGGCGTTTAACAAAATCTTTATGGGATAAGCCAGGAATTCTCCTACCATTTGGAATTGCGGTATATTTTAAATGCGATTCGGTTCATATAATGGCTTGTTGATGATCGACAAACCAAGCATTTTTTCATGTACCAAGCAACCGACAGACAAGCGATAGAAGGCTTGCTTGACCTGAGCGCGATTTGGTGCGCGATTTGATCCGCCCAAACGCGCGCGCGCTAATCGGCGCCACTTGCCATTACACCGCTTTCGCCCCCTCCAGATATATCTGGCACCAACTGGTGAACCCCGAAAAGGTAAGAAGTTAGGTCTAAACAAGATCAAGATTTAATTAATGGTGACTAATTGAAATAAATGTAAAAAATGAGAAACCTGCTTCTGTTGTAAGGTAATGTACATTGTAATGACATTTCAGGCAGTCTTCATACTGCATAAAACTCTTTCGATGGGTATCTCCATTATGAACAGGTTCCTATTTTACTTTTTTGATTCACTTTCTGAGGCCAAGGCTAAGTGGTAGTCCGAGGCTGCGATCTCACATCGAACGATCGTTACAGGCCAATCGTTGAGAATCCTAAAGATCTTCCTGTTATTGCGATTTCTCCACTACAATGTCTAATTTAGCTGCAACACAAGTGGCAAGACCACAGGAACCAAATCAAGCCGAAAAAACGTGCTTTCTCCGTGACTTCTGAAGCTGTGATCCAGACCAGGCAGCAAAAATGGCCCTCATGGCCCTCACAATCGAAAAACGTGTCACAGTAAAGAAATACGAAATGACGTGAAGGAACTCAGTGACCTCATCCCACCAGACGAACAATTCCATTTGACTCTGCATCATGTGCTCCATGAGCGCTGTCGCTTCCCACCACACTACCGCCATTACGATAGATGTGTAGTTGTAGTCGTAAATCATTGAAATCACTATAATTTAAAGGCAGCGATTACGATAAAGAGGGAGCGCATCGGGGAAGCATATGCACCACACGAAGCAGTTACTTGGCTGCCAAGGAAGCGAGGTGTGGCGCTTTCACGACGAAAGGTGCGCTGGTTGCTGAGCAGGACTTCGAAAGCACTCCGCCCCAAAAGCGATCCGCCCACTAGTTTAGTTGGTGATTTGGACGAGCTGCGTTGCCAGCAGCGGCACAACTGGAGCAACTCGATTGGAGCGTGGTTTGGCATGGTGCCACCAAACGCGTTGCGGTGAACTCGTTCATACGTCCGCTTTCTGAGCTGTTACCTGTTCATGAGTGAAAACCAACGGCCAAAAAAAGGGTCCCGTTTTGCGTTTTCTTGACGGATTTCTCTGCTTTTTTCGCCACTGGCGTACCATTGAGCACCACCACGTCACATAAGCCCTTCTTGAACTTTCCGTGATCGCTGCCTTTAACGGCCGACCTTCACCACTTATAAATAGCGCATGGTGATTCAGTTCCCTGATCTCGTATTCTTAGGCCTTTCTGAAATCTCACACGACTTTAATCTCTCTGGCCGAGTTTCTGAAAGCCCTTAGAAAGGTCTAAGCTGTTCTGCCTAAATTCGATTCTATAAAAAGTTGGATGGCAATCTTTCAACCTTTCCTTACGTACCCCAACACTTCCGTAACCCTATG